AGGACAGGAGATGGATACTGTTGGAAACGAATATTTTGGCAATGCAACTCGATGTATTGATCGGTGCATAGCGCACGTATATATGGAGTACAAGGTGGGCCACAACCTCAACTATACAATGACTAGGAGGTGGGCCGGACTATACAATATATACGCACAAACCATATATTCAACACCCCCCCCCGCAGTCGAAGCGTCGCCGGAGATGCAAAGACTGGACCTGAACTCCTCGAAAACAGAAGTAGGCAGTCCTTTTGTCATAACATCGGCAAACTGTTGCACCGTCGGGACATGGAGGACCCGGATGCGCCCAAGGGCCACCTGCTCACGAACAAAGTGTATGTCGAGCTCAATGTGCTTCGTTCATCGATGATGGACCAGGTTGGCGGAGAGGTACATGGCGGAGACGTTGTCGCAGTAGACGAGTGTGGCCTTGTGAACATCACAAAGCAACTCCTGGAGCAGCTAACGAAGCCAAGAGCATTCGGCAACGGCGTTAGCCACTGCCCGATACTCTGCCTCGGCACTCGAGCGAGAGACTGTGGGATGTCGCTTGGAAACCAAGAGATCAGAGACGGCCCAAGGTAGACACAGTACCCTGAAGTGGAGCGCCGTGTGTCCAGGCAGCCAGCCCAGTCCGCATCAAAGTAGGCGACAAGGTCGGTAGAGGCGGAGGCCGTCAGTGTAAGTCGACGTAGTGCCGCGTATGTAATGGAGGATACGCTTCACCAAGGTCCAGTGAGAGTCACGCGGAGCATGCATGTGAAGACAGACCTGCTGAACGGCGTACTGCAAGTCGGGGCGCGTCAGAGTGAGGTACTGCAAGGCACCCACAATGGAGCGATAGAAGGCCGCGTCGGATGCGAGAGAGCCCTCCAGAGCTGAAACCTTGGCCTTGGTGTCAACAGGCGTGGGAGCAGGCTTGCAGTTAAGCATGCCGGCATGATCGAGAAGCTCATGGGCGTAACGCTGTTGGTGCAGAAAGAACCCATCTGGCCGTCGAACCACCTCAATGCCGAGGAAGTAGTGGAGGGGCCCCAAGTCCTTCAGGGCAAACTCATCGCGAAGACAAGCAGTAAGCCGCTGGAGAAGCGCGACAGTGGAAGCCGTCAGGATGATGTCGTCGACGTAGAGCAACAAGTAGGCCATGTCAACCCCGTGATGGTACACGAAGAAGGATGCATCGGAGCGGATCGATGTAAATCCAAGCGTCTGCAGGAAGGCAGCGATGCGCTGGTACCAGGCCCGAGGCGCCTGCTTCAACCCGTAAAGAGAACGGGAGAGCAAGCACACATGGTCAGGATGTGTGGCGTCGACGAAGCCGATGGGCTGCTCACAGAACACCTGCTCGGCGAGGTGGTCGTGCAAGAAGGCGTTGGAGACATCCAACTGATGCACGGGCCAAGCTCGGGAGACGACCAGCTGAAGCACGGTGCGGATCGTGCCCGGTTTAACAACCGGAGCAAAAGTGTCGGTGAAGTCCACGCCCGCACGTTGCCGAAAGCCTCGAACCACCCAGCGAGCTTTGTAGCGCTCGAGAGTCCTGTCGGGATGAGTCTTATGCCGAAAGACCCACTTCCCGTGATGATGTTGGCACGAGGTGGCCGAGGGACAAGCTGCCAGGTGCGGTTCCGTTGGAGCGCATCGAACTCTTCCCGCATCGCAGCGAGCCAATGAGGGTCCCGAAGGGCGGCTCGAGCTGACGATGGGAGAGGGGACGACTCGGAGACGGAAGCAGCGAGAAGATACTCATCGCTGGTGTACTGCGTACTCGGGCGGAAGGTACCGGCCCGAGAGCGAGTCATCGGGCGGGGCAGCGAGTCCGGGGCGACGGGCGAGGACGAAGAAGAGCCCACCACCACTGATGCCACAGGTGAGACCGCGAGTGAGGCCGTGGGCGAGGCCGCCGGCGAGGGCGCGGGGAAGGCCACCGCGGCCGAGGCCACCGCGGGCGAGGGCGCGGGGGGCGCCGAGAAGGCCTGCGCCGATGGTGGCGCAGGGGGCGTCGTGGGCGCCGAGAGGGGTGCAGCCCCGAAGGAAACCGGACGGGGAGGAACTCGACCCGGGGCACGGGAGGCACCCTCAAAGCCAGGAGGCGGCCTGCGAGAAGCGCCCGAGCGTCCGTCACCAGAAGCGGGCAAGGCCGCAACATCCGAAGGTACCTGCTGAAATGGAAAAACCATCTCATCAAAGTAAACATGTCGGGAAGTGATGACCCGATGTGAGATAGGATCATAGCAGCGGTAGCCTTTGGTGTTGGGGGGATAGCCAAGAAAAATACAGGCCACGGACCGTGGTGCGAGCTTATGAGAAGTAGTGGAAGCAATGCGAGGGTAGCACAAGCAACCGAAAATGCGAAGCTCGGTGTAGGAAGGTGGCGTGCCGAACAGAAGATGGTGAGGAGCAAAATTCCCGCGAGTGCGACAGGGACGGATGTTGAGGAGTAGTGATGCGGTGGCGAGCGCGTCAGGCCAGAAACATGGTGGCACGTTGGCGTGAAAGAGGAGGGTGCGAACGCAGTCATTAAGAGTGCGAAGCATGCGCTCAGCGCGGCCATTTTGTTGCGAAGTGTACGGGCAAGTGAGACGAAAAATCGTGCCGTGTGTGGCGAGAAGGTTGCGGATTACAAGATTATCGAACTCCTTCCCGTTGTCTGTTTGCAACGCATGAAGACCAAACTGCGTGGAGACATAGGAGTAGAATGCGGTGAGAGTGGCAACAGAATCTGACTTTCGCCGCAACGGGAAGGTCCACACATAGTGCGGAAAATCATCAAGGATAACAAGATAATAGAGATAGCCAGTGTTACTTGCAACAGGAGAGGTCCAAACATCACTATGAATTAACTCAAAGGGGTATGAAGCAACATGCGAGGAAGTGCTAAAGGGTAAACGAGTATGTTTGCCGAGACGACAAGCATGACAAGTGTGATCGTCGATCTTATTACACGTGAATGAAAAACGGCGAAGAATATGACGAAGGGTGGCAGGGTTGGGATGACCGAGATGAGCATGCCAAAGGTCCACTCCAGCGGAAAGCGCCATGGGTGCAGTGACGGAGGATGTGGAGGAGTGGACCGGGTAGAGATCGTCGGGGCTGTCACATCGGTGGAGCACCATCCGGGTACGGGCATCCTTAACAGAAAAGCCAAAGATGTCAAATTCAACGGTGACAGGATTTTCACGTGTAAGAGAATGAACAGAAACAAGATTTTTAATGATGTCAGGTGAAACGAGTATGTTAGAAAGATGTAATGGAACGGAGTTAGAAGGAAAAGTAGCATGGCCGACATGAGTGATGGGCATGGAGGAACCGTCACCCGCGGTAATGCGAGCAGCAGTGTGAACATGGTGAGCGGTAAGAAGGTTACCGGGGTTGGCGGCCATGTGAGTCGTGGCTCCGCTGTCCATGTACCAGTCGCCACCGCCGGTGTATTGCTGTGGCGTGGGGGCGGTGTGGAGGGCCGCTAGTAGAGCGGGGTCCCATGGTGCCGGCGGGAGGGCCGGGGCCGACGGCAGAGGCTGTGGCAGCGGCGCCATGAGCCCACCGGCCGGAGGCAGCCCATAGGCTGCCGAGGGGCCGTAGAGCGGCGCCGGCGGATACGCCTGAGGGGCCGCGTACAAAGCCTGATGAGGGGCCGGGCGGGCGCCAAAAACACCGGGGACGGGGGCACGCGGTATGGGCATGGAGTATGCGTGAACAACCCCCGTCCAGTGGTTTTGGCCGGCCTGCTAGGGCATCGGCAGGAGCGGGTGCTGCGGCTGGCGCGACGCCCCGCCATGGGCAGCTGGCGGCTCCTGCTGCTGCTTGCGGCCACCTCGGCCGCGACGCCCGCCCCGGCGCTGCTGCTGCTCGGCGGGGGGCGGCGGAGGGGCCTGCGGCGGCGCGAGATATGGGAACCCGGGCGGCGACTGCACGTGGAGGGGCCCCTGGGCGGGCCGCGGGGGGGAGCCAGAGCGGTGGGCGGCGCACCACCGCGGGTTCCGGCGATGAGAGCCGTATGGGTGGCCCGGGCGTGCAACATCCACATCCTCTTCTCCTCCAGCTTCAGGTACGCGACGATCTTGGGGAATGTCGGGTTGGTGATGAGAGGGATGTTGGAGGCGGCGTTCCCAAAGTCTTCGTTCAGGCCGGCGATGAGAGTGCTGAGGAGGAGCTCGTCGGAGACCTTCTCGCCGAGGTCACGGAGCTCGTCGACAAGCTTCTTGAGGCGCATGCAATAATCGTCGACCGACGAGTCAAGCTGCTGGCACCCAAAAAACTCACCGTGCAAGAAAACCTTGCGTTGGAGCGCGTTGTCGGTGAAGAGGCCGTTGAGCTTAGTCCAAATGGCGTGAGCGTCATCATCGGCGGAGACCACCGTGTGGAAGAGGTCCTTCGAGATGGTGGTGTAGAACCAGCGGATCAGAGTGGCGTCGATGGACGTCCACTCCTCATCGTTCTCCATGAAGCGGGAGTCCACGGAGCCATCGATGTGATCCCGGAGATTGTACTCACGGAACACAAGGGAGAAGTACGTCTTCCAGGCATAGTAGGTGGAGGTGAGTTGATCGAGGACGACGGGAACCCGAGCGAGGATATTGAGATCACGGATGATGACGAGATCGGGGCCGTCGAAGGGGTTGGTGCGGCGGCTGCGGGTGGTACCGGTGGAACTGGGGGAGGCCATGACCGAGAGGGGAGGGCGGCGGCGCGGCGGGAGGGATGGCGGCGCAGCGCGAGTGGAGGCGCTGCGGGTGCAGGTGGAAGCGCGAGGCGGCGGCACATAGGGGGGCGGCGGCGCGGCGACGCGGCGGCGGCGGCGGCAGCGGCGATCGGATCGCGGCGGCGGCAGGAGTTAGGGTTAGGATAGTAGGTATGATACCATGTTGGAAACGAATATTTTGACAATGCAACTCGATGTATTGATCGGTGCATAGCGCACGTATATATGAAGTACAAGGTGGGCCACAACCTCAACTATACAATGACTAGGAGGTGGGCCGGACTATACAATATACATGCATAAATCATATATTCAACAGATACCACCTGGGAGGGCGAGCACCAAACTGAACACCGACGGGAGCTATGTCCCGGCGACAGGCGCAGCAGGTGGAGGGATGATCCTCCGTGATGATCTTGGGCAGATCATCTTCATGACATGCAGGGAGCTCCGAGCATGTGATAACGCCCTTGTAGCTGAACTTGAGGCGTGTAAGGAGGGGCTGGACTTGGCGCTGCACAGGACCGATCGGCCGATTGTCGTCGAGATGGACTCTTTGAAGGTGGTGGCCATGTGCACGGCCGTTTCGATTGATCGCTCTGTCCATCACAACCTCGTGCAGGATATCAAAAGACTGGCGACGGCGAAGGGACGGAAGGTCCATTTTTCTCATTGTAGTCGTTTTCAGAATAAAGTGAGTCATGAACTTGCGTCTTATGGTCGTCGCACCCTCCGTACTGCTATATGGTTTCATTCAGGAACGAATGCCGTTGTAAACTTGGTGATGGCTGAATTGCCACCTTGAGTAATGAGAATTTCTATTTCCCGCAACAAAAAAATGCTGTGCTGAATAGGCCACACCGGTGCAATCACTATGAGTGAGTGGACTTGCAAGGTCGAACGAACTTGAGTATCATTCTCCTTCTCTGTGACATGGAAGTCTGGTCCGGTCTAAATTTTTCCAAGAAACCAAATGAATCACATGGGCGCAGGCGGAGCGGAGGGGAGGAGAAAAGCCTTGTCGTTCATTAATGAGGCGACTGGCCTGGCCTGGCCCCACGCCACGGCTGCTCCCACCACCCTCGCCCGGAGGCAGCAATGATAGATCCTCCAACCAGGCAGGCAGGCAGAGAAGAAGGGAAAGAATGACACCGCTACCCAAAGCAGCCAGCCAAGCCAAAGCCAACCCCAGTCCTAGCCACTAGCCACAACGAACGAACTCAGACCCAGCCAGCCTCGTGGCTCCGGTTGGACTGGCCAGTACCGTTGCCGGACGCTCCTGATGGGGAACTGCGCCGGCGTGCAGGGGAACGCCGAGATCAACCCGACCTTCAGTGCTCCCAACACCTCAGGTGCGCCACCACTCTACTCCGCCTCGCCTCGCCTCGCTTTTGGCTGGTTGCATCAGCTTTCCAGGCCGCGTTCCGGTCTGAGCGAGTAGATAGCTTTGTGTGCTCTGCTTCTCGACTTCTTCTCTAGTGATTTGGTCCTGTTAGTTATTCGGAGTAGGAATGAGCGTTTCTTGATTCTTCTTCTGCTGCACTGTTTGGAACAAGAGTCCAACTTGGGCTGGTTGATTTTGCACGGTCTAGTTTTCCGCTTTGGGCTTCATAGATGGCCAGGGCCAGCAGTGGGCAAAATTGCACGATTTTACCAAGCGTGAGGCGCATATGGTTTTGCCCAAACAAAACAAGTAGGGCGAATTTTGCTCCCAGAATGGCAGCGGGATTGATATCTTCAAGATAGCGTGAGTAACCGCGGCCGCTTGCTTTGCAATCCAGGTAACAATTCCAAGAGCAGCAACAGCAGCAATGCGACTGATACAAGCACTTTTGGCAAGAGTTCTTCGTCGTCGGTGCCGCCGACTCCTCGGACCGAGAAGGAGATCTTGCAGTCGTCCAACCTCCGCAAGTTCACCTTCAGTGAACTGAGAAGCTCCACAAGGAACTTCCGGACTGACAGCCTGCTCGGGGAGGGGGGCTTTGGCTCCGTCTTCAAGGGGTGGATCGACGAGCGCACGTTTACGCCGGTCAAGCCCGGCACCGGGATGATCGTCGCCGTGAAGAAGCTCAAGCTGGACAGTTTCCAGGGGCACAAAGAATGGCTGGTTGGTCCCTGGCCTTGTCGCACTTCTTCTTGTGCCTGTTTGAGCTGAAGGTTTTGTGGTTTGAATCTGTTTCTGCAAAAAAATACCTTGCAGGCTGAGGTCAATTACCTGGGGCAGCTATCACACCCCAATCTTGTGAAGCTCATCGGGTATTGCTTGGAGGACGAGCAGCGGCTTCTCGTCTACGAATTCATGCCGAAGGGTAGCTTGGAGCACCATCTTTTCAGGAGTGAGTTTCTCAAATATTATCTTGTGTGCTATACTCATTGTGCAAGAAATGTTCCATTCGTGCTGTTGGAAATGGCCAAATGGGTGAGTGACAGTGCAATGGTACTGCAGGAGCTCCACATTTCCAGCCCCTCTCATGGAGTTTACGGATGAAGGTTGCTCTTGAGGCTGCCAGGGGACTTGCTTTCCTGCATAGCGATGAAGCTAAAGTTATATACCGTGATTTCAAGACCTCCAATGTTCTTCTTGACTCGGTGGGCGCATGCAAATTCAGTCTCTTATGTATACACTAAGTGAAAGTACAATGAGCTCTGGTCTAAAGATTTGCTTTTCTTGTCCTTCTTTGACTGCATACAGGAATATAATGCAAAACTCTCTGATTTTGGCTTGGCAAAAGATGGCCCGAGTGGCGATAAAAGTCATGTTTCTACTAGGGTCATGGGGACTCAAGGATATGCTGCCCCTGAATATCTCGCAACAGGTAATCTTTCTAACATGCCTTACCAGCTATCTGTTACAACCATATTGTTCCTCTACTATTTTCATGCATCTTAGTGACATGGATCAAAGGGGACCTTCATTGACTGTTCATGAAAAGGGCAAATGAAGTTCTATTCTTTTCTAGCATTATATCTTCTTAAGATGGTTGTGGTTCAATGTTCAAGACAGCATTGCTGGCAAGTTGCAGTTACCGTAGTTTCTATTGATGCAATGCACTCCTAACAGGATTGAAGGAAAATAATCTTTGTAGCAAGACATTGATGCTTCATGGCGTGCATGCCATATCCTTTTTAAGAGACATAACCAACTAACACTAGTGTATCTGTCGGATTCACTTGGTTTTATATGTCATGGTTCTTCGTTGTGCTTAGATGCGCCTTTTATTTAAAGGGGTGTGATTCTCCTACATCAGTGAGGGTGCATAAGATAATCATTTAGCAGCAAAGTGACTCACCAGGCAAGAGCCAGGAAGCAGAGCATGTCTGAACAATCCATTTTAGATTGACGATTGTTGTTCCAGTCATGTGATGCCTATGATTACCAATTTTTTTAAATCTTAAAAGATTTGTGGGGGATGATGTATGACACCCTGTAAAAGGCAAACCATTGAGGCAAGCCATCATGCTAGTTGAAAACTTGAACCGGTACTTTATGCTTTCCACACCTTTGGTTAGTGGAAGAAGGATGACTAGATACTCAGCTGGTTAGTTAAACACTTAACACTACGTCTTGGTTCCACGTTCAAGTTAGCACACTAATTCCTCTGATCACTATAAATTGCCCCATCTTGTTCTCTAATCCAATATGCACATGCTGTGATGGTAAAAAGTCAATGATGATTTACTCGCGTACAACTGACTGTGGCTAGTTAATACTCCCTCCGTCCGTAATTACTTGTCGCTAAGAGGAGTATCAATGATGATTCGGGACAGAGATAGTATCAATGATGATTTGCATGTGTATGACTCATCTTGGGTAGTTAATAGTTACATCTTCAATGCACTAATGTCAGCACACGAATTCTTTCTTGTTCCTATAATTAAATTGCCTCGTCTTAGTTAAACACTTAACACTACGTCTTGGTTCCACATTCAAGTTAGCACACAAATTCCTCTGATCACTATAAATTGCACCATCTTGTTCTCTAATCCGATATGCACATGCTGTAATAGTAAAAAGTCAATGACGATTTGTATGACTGATTGTGGCTAGTTAATACTCCCTCCGTTCCTAAATATTTGTCTTTCTAGAGATTTCAAATGGTCACCACATACGGATGTATATAGACATATTTTGAAGTATAGATTCACTCATTTCGCTCCGTATGTAGTCATCATTTAAAACCTCTAAAAAGACAAATATTTAGGAACGGAGGGAGTAGTTCTCAATGATGATTTGCATGTGTATGACTGATTTTGGCTAGTTAATAGTTACAGCTTCGATGCACTCATGTAAGCACACAAATTCTTCTGGTCGCTATAATTAAATTGCTTCATCATGTTCTTTACTCTAAATTTGTGCACATGTTGTAATGGTGAAAGTCAATGATGGTTTGCATGCACCTGACTGGTACAAACTTACATGATTTTTCTCCATATTATATGCAGGCCACTTGACCACGAAGAGCGATGTCTACACCTATGGTGTTGTTCTTCTAGAGTTGCTGACCGGGCAACGAGCTCTGGACAAGAACCGCCCGCCTGGACAGCATAACCTGGTGGAGTGGGCAAGACCTTACATCAACAGCAAGAGGAGGGTCATCCATGTCCTGGACCCACGATTGGGGTCGCAATATTCGCTCCCTGCGGCGCAGAAGGCAGCGGCGCTTGCGATGCAGTGCCTGTCAATGGACGCCCGGTGCAGGCCGGACATGGATCAGGTCGTGACCGCGCTGGAAAAGCTTCCGGAGGTGAAGAAAACATACAAGTAGGGAGGGTTGCTGGGTTCCATGTGTACTCCTTTACCTCTCTGGAGCATCGCCTACTCCTTGTAAGCAACACTTCAGGGAGTAGAAACAGTGAAGAGAAGCCGGACTTGAGGGGAAGACTAGCCTTTGAATCTGTCAAGAGAATGTAGAATATATATCGTCATGTGTACAGCTAGCTGTTAGACTGTTGTTACTTTGCTGTCAGCCTGACGCCTGTTTTATATATTTGCAGTACACCGGCTTTGTAAAACAAGTTGGGAAACAGTTGTGTCTTGGTCTTGAAGCATTCTCACTCAGTGCGTGTTTATGCTGAGAGCCATGTCAGAGAAACTCTTACTCTGCACGAGAAATGAAACAAATTAAGTTGTTAGTTTGTCGCCTTAGTGCGTAGACGCACCTCCAGTTTCTGTCATTCGAAACCATAAAGAATACCAGAACCAGAAACAAAGATCATTATGAGTGAATAAAAAGAGTCCTTTATATATAAAAAAGGAGTATTCACATTGCTTTGATGATAATATTTCATTGCAAGACATGAGTTAACAGCAGATAAGCCATATGATATAAGCAATAGAAACCCAAAGCCTAGCCAAACAACACCCATATAGTGTTCCCTTTCTCCTCTATAAAATTACGAATCCAAAGCAACACTGGTGAGGTTGCAAAGCACAAACAGCTACATGTGCAAGAGTCGAGAATTGGAGAATTTTAGGCAGGCTACTGAAGAAAATGATCATCGCTTGAATAAATAGCGGCACAGAATCGAAAAACAGGTTTTACAAGTGTTTACATTCAGAGGAGGCTGGAACTAAGCTTCTACAGAAATTTACTTTAAGCTTTCCACGGAAAGATAAGACCAGGTGAAGTGAGGCCAAAATGGCTGACTGTTCAACCAAGCCATCTTTAGAATCTGCGCCCGCCAGAGTTATAAGCACAACCGCCAGGGTATTGATGACCACGGTGCTCAAAACCATGATCGCGACCTTGGCCCCCACCATGGAACTCTGGGTAATCTGGCCGCTCCCCAAAGGATTCATACTGACCAGATGCATAACGATGAGCCTCTCCATAAGAACTTCCAGAGGGAGCAGCAGCAGGAGGAGGCGTGGCTGCAGCTGTTGGAGGATAGCCACGTGGTTCCCTAGGCACAACATTATTTGCATAATTGCTTATGCTGGCCTTTTGGTATTGCTGTTGGCGTTCCAGAGACTCTTTGCGCAGGAATTCTTCTCGATAGGCTGTCTGCCGAGCTCGAAGTGCCAATAGTTTCTCATGATACTGTGCATTTATTTCGTTCAATCTCTGCACACAGACATGAGAACCATGTAAAACAGCAGTTGTCTTTGATAGATATTAATAGTGTATGATGCTAGTTTAAAAAGAAAACTCTATGATTCAGAGACAGTGCTGCAACATTATCAACAGTATGATGTCATGCTGTAATTGGGGCAACATTGACAAGTATGATTGTAGTTGAGGCAACATTACTGCAACAAGTTCCATTGTTTAGATCTTTAAAAGTTGCCATAGAAAAGGCATATAAAAGATGATTTAAAAGTTGTCATAGGAAAGGCATATATACAAGGATCCACCATATGCTGTGGGGTGTGCAATTTTAACACAGGCACAAAAATCTTCAGAGTGACTCAATTCCTTAATCAACACCAAGCACTAAGATAAATCTAAGCTTACTAAGGGCATCTCCAACGCCGTCCCCCAAATCGGCCTCGCTATCCGTCCGCAGACACGGAAGCAGACATCCAACCATGTGCCCTAATCGTCCGCACGCATTTTAAACGAAAATTGAACCAAACGGACAAATTTCATGGAACCGGATAAAAGTTGAATATGATTTACATAAACCGGACGATATTTTGTCCGTTTAACTATTTTTTTTTAAACCTAAACTAACCTACGGGAGGTACCGGAAGGTGACCTCATACGCATGGCCGTCCTAGCCGGCTGGGCAGCCGTCGTCGTCCGCTCCGTCGCTGCTGCTGTGGAGGAGTGGAGAGGGTTTGCGGCGAGGAGGCGCTGGAACACTACTTAAATAGGCTGGGCAGGCAGAGCGACGCCGCTTCAATGCAGCGCAGCGGCCAGAGTAGGCTTCCCGGACGTTTGCGGGCGTTTAAGGGCAGAGCGTTGGAGATGCCCTAATAGAGTAAACCAATGGAAACATGATAAGCTATAGATGCGCAAGGGGGGAGAACCCCATTTCAATATCTAAGTATTACAAGTTTTTCTTGGTATTAAATCCTATATTGGTTGCTCGAGCTTGCATGTTCTCTGCAGTTACATTGCAAGATGTGGGTTGTTCACGTCCGATGACTAATATGGATTAATGTGGGTGTGTACTAGACTACTGGTATTGGCATGCAAAATGAGAATGTACATAGAAATTGACAAGTCTATGCACATAACTGAGAACAAGGGGAGAAGACATCTATAGTTTTTAAGTAGCAACACAAAACTAGATGTTTCCCAACATCTACCTGTGGGATTGTTACTCAAAAGGCTAATCATACCACAATTGACTAACAGGACCAAACAGAAACTCAATAAGCAAAAGGCATATGATATTAAATCCTTTCATAAAATGGATAAGTACTTCCTGTCAATAATAGGACATATCAATGACATAAAATGGATAAGTACTTCCTGTCAATAGTAGGACATATCAATGACTGATATCAGGAAGGTAAAAAACGATCTGCAAGTCCAGTTAATCTACTTTTGGCAGGTAGGAAGGACAAGGCAGAATCATGCAATATATTTGAACATACCTCCCTGTGCCTAGTATTTTCAGCATCCTCTGCATCATTTAGTTCCTTGGATAGGACCACGATGTCTTCACGAAAACTCTGCTCTAGACTTTCAAATGTACGAGGAAGATTATAGTCATCGCGCCTTGCTTCAATCTTATCGGTACGAGGCTGGTCCCTCAATTCCTTTCTTGGTTGCTTTTCTAGACCAACCTTCAGATCAGATTGTTGTCCATCATAAAAGGATCGTTTACCCTCAGCACTTTGACCTACATCAGGATCCGTCAGTGCAAAAGCACAGAAGTGTAACCAAGATGCAAAACATAACATTTTCTAGCACATTCTCACACATACTACCAGTTTACCATGCTAGCTACACAACCACTAATATGTCCAAAATTTCTTGGAAAAATGCTAATCTGTCCAAAGTGTAGGGTGCACATATAAACTAGTTATGCCACCAAAAAAGTTGACATCTTAGATTTTTCAACAAATTGAAACAGGCGTGTGGGTACATACTACATACCATCATTATATGCATATGGTGAAATCTGATTCTGGATGTTCGGCCCACCTCTGTCCCATTGGCTCTGTCTCACCTTCTGGGTGGTATACTGGTTCTCCCCAGCAGCTTGCCCAGGATCTCTTCCAGGGTAACTATTATCAGGTAGTTGTTGAACCCTTTGCTGAGCCTGGTAGTGATGCAACTGGGAAGACACCATGGAATTGATGTTAGGATCCCCGTATTGCCCCTGTCCCTGTCCCTGTCCCTGTCCCTGCCGCCTCATTCTAACCTGAATGTGCAAGATACTAAAGCAACAACGTTGGTAACAAATTGTGAAAATTATTCTAAGATTGAACGGCCAAATTATCAATCTAGGCCAAATGAATGCATCATCAGGTAAGGTTTTACCATGCCAAACTACCATATTATGATTCCGTAACAACGTTTACACATAGGTATGCAACTTTATAACGCCAACAAAATCAGCAAATACTACCACAATAAGGCTTAAACCTATATTAACATTGTCGTCATGAACAAACACCATCAAACCGGCAACACAGGGCGCAAATTTCGAGTGTAAAAAGCTTCTCGGTGCCACAGATCTCGGCGCTGTCCCCAGCTTTCACTCGAGAGCACCGAAGCAACAGACCGCTGCTAGCAGTTGAGAACGGGGACATGATTACAAACGGTCCAGTCTCAGTCCCGCGCCACCGAAAAGAAATTCATGTTTTTTTTTGCGGGAAGAAAAGAAATTCATGTTAGCAGCCACGCTAGGTCGAGAAACCCTAATTTCGCAGCGATCAGATACACGCGCAGGCGCAGCACCGCAGGTCGCCTGATTTCCCCCGTCTGCTAGGGTAGGCGGATAAAAAGAAAGAGAAAGGAGACCTAAGAAAGCCGGCATAACCAAGAGCCCGCCTTGCGGCTTACCTCGGCAGCGGCAGCGGCGATAGAGGAAGCCACGAAGGCGGTGGCGGTGGCGCTCACGGCGGCGTGGGAGATAGTGGGTGGGGTGGGGGACGGTGGGGAGGGACTGGGAGCCGAGCCGGGAGCCAGGCAAGCGCACGCTGCGGCGGCCCAATCCTCAATATGTCTAGGCCGTAGCCTGTGAAGTGTGAACCTGTAATATAACGCTAGCAAAAGGGCCCGTGCGTTATAACAGAAGAAAAAAAATCATAATCTTTAGTGGCTATGTTCATTGTCTCAAAACAAATATGGCCATGTTCACATTTTGCTGCATCACCGATACTCAGTACCACTCTCAATTTTCTGAAATCATGAGCAGTTTTTTTAAACTCATGAACATTTGAAATCATGAACATTTTTCAAATTTATGAACACGTTTACAAATTTTCAAACATTTCCAAAAAATAACAGTTTCTGAATTCATGAACATTTTACACTATCTGCAAATATTTTTTAAAAACTGTGGACATTTTTTAACAATTTTTTTGAATCGGTGAACATTTCTAGAATGGACGAACATTGTTTTGAAAATTGGTGTAACAATTTTTAAAATTTAATAATATTGTTTTTTATTTAACAAACAATTTTTGAAATGCGTGATCATTTTTTGAATCAGCGAGCATTTTATGAATGAATAAACTATTTTGTCACAAATAGTTTTTGAATTTTCAGGTTATTTTTTCGTTCAAAAACATTTGAAAATTGGCGAAATATTGTTCAATTTCATTAAAAAATTTAATACACGAAATTTTTAGAAACAATTATGATTTTTTGTATTTCCAAACATTTTTGAACAAGCAAATATTTTTTATAAAATTGCGAACATTTTTTAAACTCACAAACATTTTATGATTTATTAAAAAAATTAAAATTCTCATTTTTTTTATTTTTTCAAAACTTTTTTGAAGTCCCAAATTATTTAAAGTAGAAAACAAAACCCAAAAAAAAAGAAAAAACGAAATTTAGAAATAAGGCCGCCCTGACATGGGCTGACCCAAACAGAGGCGTTGCA